AAAGAGCAAACAACAGAACAAACACAGCTTTGACAAAGATTAATCCATATTAATTTATACAGTGAACACACTCAGAAGAATTGGAGAAACTGAGGAGAAGTTTCAACATCTGGAAAAGATCAGGTGCAATGGTAAAAAAAAAAAAACATTCTCCAAAACAACATTTTCTCACTAAAAAGGAAGGTGTTAAGATGGCGCCGACGCTGATGGCTGCCTCCGTGGCGTGCTCCGCAGTTGTTTTTATGTTTTTGTTAGTTTGTCCTGTCTTTACTTATATCCCTGCAATCAGTTTCAACAGAGACAAATTGCTGGACATTCGGAAGTACACACCACCCGATATTTCACCGGTTTTCGATTATTCTGATGTTTTGCTGGACATTGTTGTCGGCGGAGCTGCGGCGCTGTTCAGATGCTTCAGGACGAGCAGACGGGGGAAGCGAGCCGGCGCGCTCGTGAAGCTCAGGCAGCGCGGATTCAGAACGCCGTTGCCGAGCATCCACCTGGCGAACCTCCGCTCTCTACCCAACAAAACAGACGAACTCCTTCTGCTCTCCCGGACAAATAAGGATTTTTCAAACTCTGCTGCTCTGTGTTTCACGGAAACCTGGCTGAATGACGCCATTCCGGACAGCGCACTACATCTGCCGGGCTTTCAGCTGTTCAGAGCGGACCTGCGACGCAGAATCAACGGGGAAATCACGCGGCAGCGGGACGTTTTTACATCAACGAAAGGTGGTGTACAGATGTAACAGTGTTAAAGAAGATGTGCTGTCCCTATCTAGAAGCGCTCTTCATTAACTGTAAGCCGTTCTATTCGCCGCGGGAGTTCCACTCGTTCATTCTCGTGAGTGTTTACATTCCTCCGCAAGCGCACGTGAGCATGGCTTTACAGAAACTCGCTGATCAGATCACAGAGACAGAACAACAACACCCGGACGTTAACCACCTCAATCTGTATTATATTTTAGGGTTTTAAAAAAATTCCCTCATGTCCAAATTCAACATGAAGGGGGGTGGTCCGCTGCAGAAAGAGGCATTTGAAAAGACTGCACTGTTCTCGGTCATCAGAGGTATGTGAATAAAACACACAACATTTACCAGAAAAGCTTCTCTCTTTTTTAACACACTGAATGGTGATGCACTATATATGTCTCGTTTTTGTTTTTAGTAGGCATCCAAGCAAAACAGAATGACTCCCTGTCACAATTAGTGTAATTAAAGTAAAAAATTATGTCAAAAAGCTTTTCTTGTGCTTTTTTTTTTCTTATTTGGCAGATGCTGTGATGACCAACTTCCTGGCAGCAACAGAGTTGGACTTGAGGAATGCAGTTGGGAAGCATTTTAAACAAGAAATAAAACCAATAATTAATAATTTCCTTTAAGTTCACTGTTGGTTGTTTTATTTGTTAAAAGTAAACCAACAAAAGGGTTCATCTTTTTTT